CCGAAGAGGTCCGCGCACTCGGGCGCGTAGGATCCGTTGGTCAGGCGACCGGGAAACATGCGTGGCGGCGGGAGGTTTTCTTTCGGGGGGAAGACGAGGTGTTTCTCGATAAAGGCCGAGAAGCCGCACTTTTTGTCGCGGTCGCGGATTGACTGACGGAAAGTGTCGTTAAAGGGGAAGAGACCGCCCCAGTATTCAACGAATTGCGCGGTCGGCAGCACTTCCTGGACCAAGTCGTATGTGATGGACGGGTCGTACATCATCAGGCCCGTCACATCATAGTAATTCGTATCGTTGGCGTCGAGCATAGCGCTGGCAATGTACGAGCAGTACATACCCCTATTTCCGTAAGTGACAGATTATATTCCGGAAGACAAAAACTTACGCATATGACTCGCCGGAGATGTACACTTTGTACCCGTGGAGACCAAACAAATCGACAAAGTTCCTCCAGAAGCCGTTGAACTGCCTTGCGACATCCTCTTCATTCTGGGCCGTTGGCCTTCCTCTGGAGAAACCAGTGCCCACAGGCTGTTCGATCCAGATGACGTTGGTGAGAGTGTGCCAGCTCCAGGGGTTCTGGACGGGTCTGTAAGTGCCATACTGCCATAGGAACGGCCCGTTTTCCTGTAGTAGCCCTTCGAGTGAGGAGCAGCCAGGCTGTTGTTGCTGTCAGCAGATTTCACTACATATATGCATATCTAGGCCAGAAATGGAGCGGCTTTGGTAAGGACATACACCGCCATTCAACCAGATAAGAATATCCTTTCCGGAGTCTTGATTCGTCGTCGGAAAGAACCAGAAAAACAGACTGCTCTCCTCGCCGGGCTCGGCGCTGATGGGGAGAGACCCGGCATACGACTCGCCCACGTCGAAGTCGACATCGGGAATGCCGCTCCCATTGACGGCGAATTCTTTTTTTAAAAAGGATTAGCCTTGAGCTTAACAATGAAAGATACAAAAATGGGAGAAAAGCGTTACGCATTGTGTTTTCATTCAGGAACCGCCCGCGACTCTGTCGCCTTCCCGACGACTCATACGGCGGCTCCCGAGTCTTGGCATCAAGTTGTCGACGACGTATTTGCTCCTGTCGCTGAAGAGCCTCTCGATGCCGTCTTCCAGCGCCTACTCCAGCGCCAACATGCACGAGAGAAAGGAGTCCGGCGAGGACGAGAGTTGCCGTCCGCATCGTTCCCTTCCCACCCACCCGCGCATACCACTCAGATTTCTTCCGTGTAGGTAGTAGGTGAAGCTCCCTAGAGTCCGAACCGTTGCAAAGTTGTGAAGTCACGATGTATGCTAAGTGTGTCGACTGGATGCTGAGGAGGAAGGAGGAATGGAAGAAAGGTTTGAGGCAAACCGCGACATGGCACGGGTAAGAAAAATACGTAGGACGGAAGATGTTTGCAATTTGACCGCACACAAGGAAGTACCCTCCTCCCGTAGGTAAGTATCCGAGTTATTTATCACACTCCCTCTCGTGGAAAGTGATTGACGTGCCCCGGCTACCCGGGTTGGGATGCTTCGCACGAGGCATCAAGGGCGGGACACTCCCACCTTTCCCACCTTCCTTTCTCCCTGACTTCTACAATACCTCCCGTTGGCTAGTATATGGAATTATTCATTTCCCCCCACAATAAAACTTGATGGAAAAGCCAATTCCCTCGGATTCTTCTTATCTACATCATATGCCTACCTAGGCAGTCCCCGAGCATGAAAACGTTGAAAAAAAAAAGTCGGCATATCCCCTCAACTCCCAAGAGACAGATACACGACCTCCCTCCCCTGACGACGACGCCGCCCTTATCCAAAATAAATTAACCCAACCAGATCAAGCTTTCCCAGCTTTACTCCAAGCGAGCAGACCCCCCATCACCCGACCGGGTGCGTGCGGCGATATATATTGCGGTAGGTAGGTATACCAAGCTATAGCCGGAGCAGCGGCCGCAACACGGCAACACGATAAAAAATTCTAGACCGCATTGGAAAAGAGAGAGGTGACGCAACCACTTACCCATAACCGCTATCTCGACCTCACTTCCATCATTTCATCAGACCGAAATTCCTAGCAATGGCCGGGCAGTCTAGACCTAGAGTGATCATTCTGCTATCGAGAATGGCCACGAGGTCGCTACGGTGCGAGGTAACAATTTCCCATATGGCCCATCCAATCCAGATCTGGCAGGTACAATACCTAGTCGGGATATTCGACGCTGATTGATTGGTTGCTTTTATCTGATGTGAACACAAAAAACTGGCGAGTTCTTCTCGCCGACTGAGTAGAACCGAGATACACAGTGGAAACGAATGGGGCTGCTTGCTTCATGATATGTGTCGATATGATACAGCGGAGGAATTACAGGTAAAATACTAAAAGGTACAAGATTACTACTTGCTCGCCTTGGCCGCCTCTTCGGCCAGAACAGCCTGGATGTCCCTCTCGGTCAGCCAGCTCTGCACGCTCTCCATGACCTTGTCCAGCGTCTCACCGCCCGCCAGCACGTTGGGCAGATTATGAAAGTCGACACCGCCGCGGTGCTCGGTGCACCGGTCCTGCTGGTAGTTGTACGTCCTGATCTTGTCGCCGCGCGTGATCTGCGACTGCGACAGCACGCTGTTCTTCAGGCTCTCCGCCAGCTCTTCTCGTGCCTCGCGCCGCTGCTGGGCGATGCGGGACCGCAGCAGCCGCCAGGCCTCCTTGCGGTTGGTGTGCTGCGACCGCGAATCCTGCATCCTCACCATGATGCCCGTCGGGATATGTGTCAGTCGGATGGCCGACTCGGTCTTGTTGACATGTTGCCCGCCGGCGCCGCGTGCCCGCATCGTCTCGCTGCGCACTTCGGTCGGGTCGATGTAGAAGTCGCTCTCCGGGTTGTCCCAGTCACTCTCGGCCTCCGATCCGGCTCCACTCTCTGGGAAAGACGGCAGGACCCAAACTGCTACGGCGCTCGTGTGTGTCCTCCCGCTCTTCTCCGTCGCCGGGACTCGCTGGACCCGATGCATACCTGCTTCTCCACGGAATATGTTGTAGGCGCCCGGTTCTTGGATCTCTAGCACCGCTTCCTGGAGAGCCACCTCGCCCTGGCTTCCCGTGGAACCATCGCCATCCAGCACGTCATATGACACAACCCTGGTACGGTACCCCTTGTTGGCGCAGTATGCTTGGTACATACGAAAGAGAGTGTCTGCGAAGAAGCGTCCCTCGGTCCCGCCCGGCCCGGGTCGTATCTCGAGAAGACACGGCATGTCTGCGAACGGATGTTTGGGTGTCAGCGCCACCGAGAGCTTGTGCCCAAGAGCAGCTAGCTCTGTCTCGGTCGCTTCGAGGTCATCTTGGGCAAGCTCGCGCAGCTCGGCATCGTCCGACTCCAGGAGGCTCGCGAGCTCGGCCCGGGAGGCCTTTGCCTTCTCAAACTCCCTGAGCGCGGCCGCGACGGTGGATAGCTCGCCAATCCTCTTTGCTGCCTTTTGGTCGAAGGCGGTAGCCGTTGCAAGCTCCGCATTAAGTTTGTCATACTCGGCGGCGACCCTTCGCGCTCTCTCGATCAAGGCGGACGGAAGCTCGGGACCTAGAGCTAAAGCTGCAAGTCAGTTTACTGTGTTTCTTGAATTTAAATAAGATGTCCAACCTGTACTAGCTCTCCGAAGGAACGAAGAGAGACCTGCGCGCCTCAGCGATCGCGCGCAGCTTCGACACACCCATGGCGCAACCACCATACTCGCTGCATCCAGGCGCAATCGGTCGCCAAAAAATTGGAGTGATGCGAATTGACTTTTTGACTCCAACGCGGTCCCCGCGAACCACGGCGCTGGTTCCCCACACTTTAGCCTAGCGTGCCCAGCCACAGGCAGCCGGGGTGGGTCGGCCCCTTTTGCGAATTCAAGCCACAGTTGCTTTTGCATGGAACCGCTGCTGAATTTTGAGGCGAGGTGGCATTTGGTAGGGGTCCATCGGCCAGCTCGCCTTTCGTGACAGCTAATTCTCAACCACCACGCGACAAAGCATTTCACCTCAAATCCCACGAGCGAGTATTCCCGCGCCGATTGTCTTTGCCCTTACGAGTGTTCAACCGGTCTATAATCAAATCAGTCGCCATGTCGGACCAAGTGCAGGAGATCCTCGACGTGCCGCGCGAGTTCCTCAAGGACGGCATCCAGTTCATCAACAAGTCGCAGAAGCGTGAGCCCGCCTGACCGCGCCGTGCTGTGAACTCGATATACTGACTCGCTGCTAGCCGATCGTCGGGAATTCATCAAGATCTCGCAAGCCGTTGGCGTCGGCTTCCTCAGTGCGTCTTCCTCCCAAGCGCTTCACGTGCCGGACGACAAGCTAACACTGCGGCAGTCATGGGTGCTGTCGGCTACGTCGTCAAGCTTATCCACATTCCTCTTAACAACGTTCTCGTCGGTGGCGCATAGGTTTTCGAGCGGTAACGGTTGTGGTTGGGCGAACACGGTCAGGTCTGCAGGTGCCTCGAAATGTGGACTGGAAATAGACAAAAAAGGGATTGAGGACGGGCGATCGAGTTGAAAGCATGGACATGGAGACTCGGACGTCGGGACGTAGGGGTGTGACGATACCTATGAAGACTGACTGCGGTCGGTCCTCTTAATGCTTGCCAGCAGCTTATTTCTAGGCAATTGTACAAATGTTGGGTTTCTGGAGTATGTTGGAAACAAGCATGGCAAGTGCATATTGCACAGCGATGGTCATTTATGGAGTCCCTATGATGAATTCGGTTGCTCACCAGCCGGTATACGTATTTACTGTCTATGCTAATTGAGACTGCCAGGTTGTCTGGCTCGCGATGGACTCTGCTGAAGCCGACACATCTCAGCATCTGCCAATGATGACGATGTACATCCGTATTATCAGCGTTTTACGCCATCCGCAAAGACTCAAATCAGGCACGAACCGTAGAACGGGATACTGTGAAGTCAAGTTGAGTCCGCCTCTATGGATCACAAGATCCCACCAAGACAACATCTTCCAATCAACGGGCAGCCTGGCCGAGCGGTCTAAGGCGCCAGACTCAAGGAAATCTCCTTACCTGTTCACAGGTAGCATTCTGGTCTCGAAAGAGGCGTGAGTTCGAATCTCACGGCTGTCATCTTTTTTTTGTAGGATACATTTTTACCACACGTCATCGACTGCCTCTTTTCTTGGCGTTATCGCATCCGGATAGACTTCCCAGTTTTGTCGTGGACGTTATCTCGGACCCTAACTACAAACACAGCAACGTCCCCACCTGGCACATGCAATCGAGGTCAGATCCAGACGATGCAAGGGCACACTCGGGATCTGTCTTCATGGATCCGCGGACGGACCAATGGAGTGATGGGAGAGACAGCTCCACCGGTGGCAGTCGCCGTGCGTGCGTCTGCAACTTGCAGGAGCAGCAGCAAAGGCGGTGGGCGGCGCCATGACGGGTCGAGATGAAACGGCGGGGATCTTCTTGCACATCCAACTTTTCGCCAGAACACCGACCCAGAACATCATGGCCGCCACTGCCAGTCCTGCCCCCGCCGGGGACGAGGCCACCGACCTCAGCAAGCAATATGACACGCCCATCGGCCTCGCCCACAGCACCATGCAGGCCCTCAAGGACCGCATCAAGCTCCATTATGACCTGGCGAGCGACTACTACCTGAATCTCTGGTGATTTGCTCTCTCTCCATGATAAACGAGAGAACTGACAGTCGTCCAGGGGCGAGCACATCCACCACGGGTACTGGCCCACGGACGAGTCCAAGGCGGCCGAGTCCAAGGAGGTGGCCCAGATCAACCTGATCCGGTTGCTGCTCGACATCGCGGGTGGTGTGACCGAGGGCAGCCGCGTGCTCGACGTCGGCTGCGGCGTCGGCGGCACCTCGCGCTTTTTGGCCTCCCAGCTCGGCTGCACCGTCACGGGCATCACCATCTCGGGCAAGCAGGTGCAGCTGGCCACGCGGCTGACCAAGACCGAGGCTGGGGTTAACGCTCCAGCCAAAGCGGATGAGGATGGATTTATGAGTCTGGGCAAGGGCAAGGTCCGCTTCGTCGAGCTGGATGCCGAGAAGATGGGCGAGTTCTTTGCAGGCGAGGCGGGCCGGTTCGACGCCGTCTGGATCAGCGAGGCGCTTAGCCATTTCCCGGACAAGGCGCTGTTTTTTCGGAATGCGCACGCCGTGCTCCGGGCGGGCGGGAAGCTAGTGCTGGCGGATTGGTTCAAGGCCGAGGGGCTGGGGCAGAAGGAGTTTGATGCCGATATCAAGCCGATCGAGGGTACTTTTTTCTGTCTGGTTTATAGGAGCGTTTGAGCTGACGATGTAGACGGAATGTTGCTCCCGCCTCTTTGCACGCAGCAGGAGTATGTCCAGTACGCCACCGGGGCGGGGCTTACTGTATTCGGAGGGCCAAAGGATATCAGCAAGGACGTGAGCAAGACATGGTGAGTTTTTTTTTAAGGGAAAGCGAGACGGTGCTGACGAAATAGGGATATCTCGTGGTCGCTGGTCCAGAATCCTAGTCTCTGGGGGTTTGCGTTCAGTCAGGGCCGGGATGGGATTGCGTTTCTGCAGTCGTTCCGGGCGATGAGGCGGGGATATGCCAACGGGAGTTTTCGGTATGCCGTGATGTGTTTTGGGAAGGATCTTGACTTGGAAAAGGCGTGACTGGTAATGAAGCGGAGCTGATAGCAGTCTGAGAGAGCATAAATTTTTCTGAGGAGAGGATTATGTTCCAGAACCCTTGTGAATATTTCACGGTTGACTCAGCTTTCCAGGGGGGTTCTAATGAGGATCTAGATATCGTGACATCGATGAGATGATCTGAGTGGTGTATTTCTGGTGGCTGCAGATGGTGCCCAAGCAACGGTAACCCAGTTCTTTGAAGTTTAGTTGGAATGTGTTACACGACATCCGTTTGCCAAGATGCCCCTATTACGACCACTTCGTGTAACCCCTTTCCAAGATGCCCCCATTATGACCGCTCCCGAAAGATTCTCGTTGATTATTTATTTCCTCCCCAAAGTCGAATACAAACCAAACCAACCCAGACCAAACCAGACCAGACCGAACCAAACCAAACCAAACTAGACCAAACCAGACAGATCAAACCATCCAGACCATCCAGACCAAACCAAACCAAACCAACACCAAACCAACACCAACACAAACCCTCACACCCATTACCAACAAGAAAAAAAACAAGCCCCAAAAACACTAGAACCAAAATACCAGAGACAAAAAAATTCAACACCCAAAAGCAAGCGCAAACCCAACGCCATCCCCACCCTCCACAAAACTCACACTACTCCCCTCCTGCACATCCCCAGCCATCTCAAGCCGGAACTGCATATCCCCCCGACAAGCAAACGAATTCACCGTCTTCACCTCATTCTTTGTCTCCTCACCACAACTCTCCTCATTTTCTCCGGCAACAGTATCCCGAAAAGTAACAGTCCCCACCACGGCGCCCGGCGCGGGCCCATTAATGTCGATTATGTCTACCCTCCCTGTTCCGGTTACCAGGATGGGGAAGGTGCCGTGGGGTAGGGGGAAGGTGGTTATTAGGCTGCAGGGGCCGGGTCCTGACAAGATGGAGGGGGGGAGGGTGAAGTTTAGGGTGTGGGTTTTTGGGTTGGGGGATGAGTTGGAGAGGGTTATTTGGGTTGTTCCGGAGGTTGGGAAGAGGATTGTGGGTGGGCAGGTTCTTTTTTCGGTGATGGTGGTGAGGTGGTTGGATGGTGGTTGTGGGAGGGCGTGGGCAGTGGTTGGGTTGGCGGCGAGGAGGAGGAGGGGGAGGACTGAAGAGAGGGTGAGGAGTGAGGAATACATTTTGAGATAGGGAGGGAGTTGCGATCGGTCCTAGGTGTTTTTGTTTTCGATTATTTTCAATAGAAGGGATTCGTTGTTTCTCTCTCTCCCCTTACTTCCCTCCGTGGCTTTTGGGCTTGTATAAAGGGCTTGACGTTGAGATTGTGGGTTGCCCGATCGTCTCTTGGATGTGTCCAGCTGGGGGAGGGGGGCGGGGACGATATATATATGTATATATGTGTGTAAGTCAAGGTCAAGAGGCACACTTCGCCCTCGGGGGAAGAGAAGCAGAGATAAAAGTTATATTCTGCAAAACTTTGTCGCTCAGAGTCGAGTCGATCCCGCATGCATCTATCCTCAATATATAATATGAGACAAAATGAGACAAGAATATATACAAGAACTGTCAAGTTTCCGAACTCATCCACATCCACATCCACATCCACATCCACATCCACATCCATACACACCCCAAGAACTATAGAGTAAAACCCCAGCCTCGTGAACAACTCTGGAACAACAACATTCCAGTCCAACCCAGCCCAGCTCAGCCAACCAACCTCTCACTGCAAACAAAGCAGGCAGGGCAGGCCAACACCACCGCAAACACACCACACCCAAGATAGTCTCAGAAAAAAAAAGAGGAGGCGGAGTCGTGAATCCCGTCCGTCCACCATGAAAACGTCTTTTTGCTCACATCATACACGAATCGGTCGGTCAGCTAGTACACTTCCCGTCCCGAACAGTCAGTCGTCAATCGAAAGACACCTGAAAAGGGGTGCGTTGTGGGGGCCAACCAACCCGACGAAAGACCCGGCCAACTCGGTCTTGACCTGCAACCTGCATAGAAATGATTACTTTTTCAACAAGAACAAAACTAACATCTCACCCAACCCGGTGACCAAACAGACCCAAGCCAAGCCCGGCTCCGCCCCCGACCGACGGGGGTTTGTCCCAACAATAGAACAACTTAAAGTTATGACCACCAGCAGGAACTAAGTTGGTGTTGGTGGTTGGAGGTTGGAGAGGCTGGCGCTCTCCACAAACGACAAACGGAGGTGCAGTGGCTTGTCCGCTTCCGCTCGGCATTCATTAGACCCGACCGACCTGACCCAACATTCCAGACCAACCGGCCTCTATTTTGTCTAACTTGGTAGTTACTCTGACATCACACGCCGCGCCATGCTATCATGACAAGGTATCCTACAAACATTCCTCTAAACCACAGTCATCACCTGAGCCGCTACCGTCCTCCCCAATATCTATGCAGTATCCTACACGCACCCGCTCAATCCTCTATAATCATCCTCCCCAGTATCAAGCTCTGAATAACCAGCTCATCGCTCAGCGTGCGTATCCGCTTGGCCGCACTCTCATCCGCGCCCACGCTCGCCCGCTTCCTCTTCCTGTTCGACACACCCTCCACCAGGTCGCCGGCATTCTCCTTGCCATCCACGTAGACCCAGTCGAACGGATACCCAGCCTCCTCAGCCGCCTTGGCTTCCACCCGCGCTTCGTCCACGCTGTAAACGCGCGCCACGGATGCACCCAGCACCCTGGCCAGAAACACATATGCCATCTTCTTCCCCTCGAGCGCCTTCTTGACCACCAGCAAGATCCGGCTGCCCTCCAGCAGCTTGGACCGCTGCGCTACAACGCTGACCAACCTCGCCGTGGCCGCGTCGTAGGGCACAAGGTTTCTAGATCGGATGGCATCCCCCAGAAAGCTCGACTGGCCCGCACATAGCAGATACGGCGCCCAGTCGAGGATCTCGCCCCGGTCCAGACACGAAGTTATCCACCGGCTGGCGATGCACGGGAGTCCCAGCGCCAGTGCCTGCATGTACTTGACTTTGCGCGAGTGACCATCCGCGATCAGTGCGGTAAAACCAGTTGCGCGACCCGACTCGTTCAGCGTCAGCTCGCCGTCGAGTTCCGGGGTCCCAGAAGGTGTCCCCGTCCTGGGCGGCGCTTCAAATAGCTCGTCAAAGCCAGTCTCCAAAACCTTGCCACCGGCTTGTCGGATTCTAGTCTCGATATTCAACGCGAAATCCATCCGCGTCTTGTACTGGTCGTTGGTCTCGCCCGGCTTCCTCGACTGGAAGGAAATTGCAAATGCCATGCCTTCGAATATTTTGGGGCCGCGCCATGGACCCTTGAATGTCCGCGATTTCGATGTTGAGATCCGTGACATGCGGAGACTATGCTCAAAGGTTGGTGTCGCCGAGGCCGATCGCGAGAGCTCATCGGTGGACGTCGACATTCTCCTCCCTCGTTGAGCCGATCCTCGTAGGTTCTCGGTCGAGATGGCGCT